AGCAAGCTGAAGACTTCGGTGGGAGCATGGGAAAAACTGGAGCTTTTGGTGCTCAGAGAAACAGTGTCAGATAAACCCATTGCTAACATATTTCTGTGAAAGTCAGCAAATAGTTTTGGTGCTCCCTGTTTACTTACTCAGGCGCTTTTCCATATGTATATGCGAAATATTTCTGAAGACAAACATTGCTCGGTATTTTTCAAGCACAAACTTAACCTTAGGAAAGCTTAGCTGTGAAAGTCTCCTTCCCAATCTTTGAAAGGTGAAGTACATTCACTCTCTATGGTTAGAAGACGACGTGGATGTAGCAACACCTCTGTGAACAATAGCCAGTATCTGCAGGATTTGTCCACAGGAACAGAAGTCACAATGTTATTAGATGATCCTGGACTCTGTCACGCTGAAGGAGCTGTGTCCTGAAGTGTAACACGCACCCTTGATGGACTGAGTGCATTATCTCACCTCTTCAAACTAAAAGAGGAGAGATTTAGATTGGATATAAGGAAGAAGATTTATACCATAAGGATGGTAAGGCAGTGGAACAGATTGCCCAGAGAGGTGGTGAGTGCCCTATCCTCAGAGACACTCAAGGTCAGGCTGGATGGGGCTCTGAGCACCTGATGGAGCTGTGGGTGTCCCTGCTCACTGCAGGGGAGTTGGACCAGGTGGCCTTTAAGGTTTCCTTCTGTGATTGTATGATTCTATTTATTACTGCAGAGGTGGCAGTGTGCAAAGAAGGGCCTCATCGGTCTGAACTTGGGCTGGGATTTAAATACTGCAAGAAAAATGGCTCATAAATCCTTCAAGAACAAACGTTAATATATTCACTCCTCAAAAAATATAATAAAACAAGTTGTTTTAAATAAATAGCCCTGTAATATCTGAAACCCAAATACTAGAAATGCAGACACTCGTCCAAAAAAACACCCAAACCCCAAAATGCTATTTTAAAGCATAGAAAAATACTGAGAAGACAATGAGCAATAACAACATAACTTTTTTAACATAAGTTATTAGTGCCAAGTCAGTGTTTCTCCCACAGTCCGGCTGAAGTCAGCATTCAATCACTGGCTTCCAAATGTCTGTTGATGGTAAATGGAGCTGTCCTGCTTTTAACTTGACCAGAACAGAATTTACACGTTACTCTTGTGCAGCATACTTGTGAGTGAGTTGACCTGCTTCTTCGTTTACCACCACACTGCTGAGCAGAGCTGCGATTTCTTCATTCCTTTCCTCAAGGACTTCAGATCTCTTCAGAAAGACAAGTGAGAGTAATAAATATGGCTCGCACGCGCAGGTGAGGGCGTAAGGAGAACTCAAGCACCCCTGGCGACAGTCCCGTGCTTTTGGGAGAAGTGCTTGGCAGGCTGCCACCAGCAGCTGCTCCAGGAGAGGCACCACAAGGTGAGGCAACCTTCAGGGTCGCAAATGTTCCTCTTGTAGGGCCATGTTTTGCTGCTGTATTGCATTTTCCATCCCTGTCTCTGCCACATCCTCCCCTGGAACAGCAGCAGACCGTGGGAGCTCAGCTGCAGTGCTAAGCCCCATGAAGGAGGCATCCCTTGGCCCTGGGGTCAGGCACAGGGGCCTGTGAGGGACTGCAGAATTCCCAGTGATAACACGCATTACTACAATATTTTCAAGTGATGCAGACAACCAAGGACAGTACCACCAGGGTAATTCTGAATTTCTGTTTTTTCATGGATTTAAATCAAGTTTTAATTATTTTCAGCAGCTTGTTATTACAGCTTTTGCAACCCGAAGGCAGACTGCTGCCTTTAATTCATTAGTAATTTCAGCAGTTAATCAGAAAAATGTCATTACCTAGGAGGACTGCAGCTCAAAATAAAGCACACTGGAGTTAAATTTAAATTAAAGCATGGACAGAAATGAATGCAGCCTTTGATCCCCGTTCCATCCAGACTGCAATCTGATGGGCACAGCTGGACAGGAGAGAAGCCGTGAGGAAAGTGCAGTCTCGCCTCTTTCAAAGGGCACTGACAACTCATTAAGCCCCCAAGCTGAGCAAATTAAAAAAAGTAGTCACCGTGTTGCTTCAGAGCTCTCCTAACGCTTTCTGCTATGGGCACTTCTTGCCAGTTTTATTTTTAAGAGAGGCTGATTTTCAGGGTTTTGACTGAAAAACATGTGCCATTAACATCTGTTTAGTCTTCACGGTGGCCAAACCTGCATTTCTGTTAGCCGAGTGGGAGCCGTGAGCCCAAACAAAGGCATATACTTCCATCCATCCGTCTGTCTGTGTGTTCCTTCAGACAGGCTCAGCACCCTGCTTGTGCCTGATCCCACAGAGGTAAAGATAACCCTGGGTAGCACCTGCAAGGCAGCAGGCAACAAGGTGACAGTGCCTTGTCAGCACAGTCAGTCCCTGACAACCCTCCCCATGCCAGGAGGAACACTGGCAGTGCTTTGTGTCTCTTTCTGTGTGTCGTGAGGCCAGGGCAGCTATGGAGCCAGGCCATAAACAGCACAGGTCTGAGCAGTATAACCCGCTCTTGCTGTTCATCTAAGTCACCCATCGATCTCCTGCTTCTCATGCCTTCCTTACCATTTGGCTCCTCCTGCCGAGGACACTCTGCTGCTGTTTCAACAGGGTTGTGCTTTTCCTCTGTGCTCAAGTGCAGCCAGAAGGTTCTGATCAACAGCTCCACGTCCAGGTGGAGGCTGGTCTTAAGTCATGTCTCAAAGCACTCAGTCTTGGGCCCAGTGTTCCTCACTGTCTTTACCAACAACAGAAGCAGTACAATTGAGTTCGCCCTCAGCAATTTTGCTGGTGACACTAAGCTGAGTAGTGCAGTTGATCAACACAAGAGAGGGATGCCATCCACAGGGACCTGGTCAGGCTTGAGGAGTGGGCACATGAGAACCTAATGAAGTTCAACAAGGCCAAGTGCAAAATGCTGCACTTAGATTGGGGCAACACAGATATGTGTACAGACTGGGAAAAGAAAGAATTTATTGAGAGCATTGAGACATAAAGACTCAGGCGTTGTAATGAACAAAAAGCTGGACACAAGCCAGCAGTGTCTGCCTGCAGCTTCAAAGGCCAACAGTAGTCTGGCCTGCATCTGAAGAAGGGTGGGCAGCAGGGAGAGGAAGGGAATTGTGTCCCTCTGCTCTGCCCTTGTGAGGCCCTATCTGGAGTGCTGTGTTCGCGCCTGGGGCCCCCAGCTCAGGAAAGATGCAGAGATGTTGGAGAAGGGTTCAGAGGAGGGTATGAAGATGTTCAGAGGTCTGGAGCATCTCTCCTGTGGAGACAGGCTGAGAGAGCTGGGCTTTTTCAGACTGGAGAAGAGAAGGCTCCTGGGAAATATCACTGCAGCCTTACAGTACTTAAAGGGAGCTTGTAAACAGGAGGAAGATGGACTTTTTACACAGCGATAGGACAAGGGCAAATGATTTTAAACTATAGAGGGATAATGTAGATGAGATATAAGGGGGATATCCTTACCTCAGAGGGCGGTGAGGTGCTGGCACAGCTGCCCAGAGAAGCTGTGGTGCCCCATCCCTGGAGGTGCTCAAGGCCAGGTTGGATGGGGCCCTGGGCAGCTGAGCTGGTGGTGGGCAGCCCTGTCCATGGCAGGGGTTGGGGCTGGTGGGCTTTGAGGCCCCTTCCAACCCAAACCATTCTGTGATTCTGTTTCCTGCATCTTCTGGAGTGGCCATTCTTCCCATTGCCTTGTTTCAGTTGACAGGGAATACACTCAGGAATTCTTGAACTGTCTGTTCAAAACATATAATAGGTTCCTTACTATACAGCAAATATATTTGCAAAGCCTGTTACATATTTATATCTTTAAATAATAATATAATATAGCCACTCCACAACTGGAAAGCTGTCTGGCTGTGCACTGCTCCCAGTGGTGGTGTGTAGCTGGCTACCGGTTTCCCACAGCGGAACCGCACTGCTGCAGCCACAGGGAATACACATTGGAGGCTTCTGTACAAGAAAGGATGGCAGGAGCACCACAGAGACAGAGTGGGTCTGCTGCCCTCGTTCTCCTTCCCTACAGCCTAAGGGCTGAGTTCCTGTTCAGATTGGGAAGGCTGGATGAACAGGAGAGCCTTCAAACTGTAATTCACTGCTGTTGGGAAAGTAAAATTGTCACGTTTCTCGGCTCTGCCTTAAATGAGGAAGTTTTACCAGCACCGCGATGTCAATGAAAGCTGGTTGAAAGCAGCGCACGGCTCATCAGCACCTGTGCCAGCCGCAATCCTATTAGCGGTGCAGCGGAAGGGACTGGAGAGCTACAGCTCCGCATTAAGAGCGGCGTTGAGGCAGAAGCGTGGTGTAAAATTGCTTTGACATTTTTTAACGAGGAAGAGAAGAGCTTAAGAACGGGGAGGCACAGCGTGCACCAGCAGCCCTCTAGCGGGAAAGCAGCAAAGCTTTGGTTTCGGTCAGCACAGCTGCGTGTGTTCCGGAGGCTCTGCCGACACGGCTCACGCAGGCTCAAGGAGAAATAGGGGTCCTTGGTTACTTTCTTATACCACGGAATCGTGGAATCGTTAAGGTCGGAAAAGACGTCTAACCGCCAACCCGTCCCTACCATGCCCACTAGCCATGTCGGTAGTAGCATAAAAACTCTGTGAGCCGTGCTTTATCAGAGCATCCCTGACCAGCGGCGAGCCCCGGCCGGGCGGTTCGTTTCAGCCTGCATCGCCGTCCGGCTCGCCTGGGGCCGCGGACACCCCGCTGCAGCGCCCGGCGGGGTCAGCACGCCTGCTGGATTCAATTACCGCGGGCTCGAGCCGAGCCCTGGCCCCCGCCCCCTCCTCCTCCGGCGGCGGCGTGAGGAGAAGCGGGGTGGAGAGGAGGCGGCGCCGGCTCCGACGAGGGGCGGCAGCCCGGGTCCCCCCGCCGCCAGCACCGCTCCGCCCCTCGCCGCCGGCGCTCTCCGCCGAGCAACTTTCCGCCCTGCGGCCGCTCGCCCCGTTCGACCGGGGAGAGGCGCGGGGAAGGAGCGGCGCCGGGGCCGGGCATGCCGGCGGCGGCGGGCGACGGGCTCCTGAGCGAGCCGCCGGGGGTGGCGGGCGGCGGCGGCGAGGCGCGGAGGGCGGCGGCGGCGGGGGCCGAGGGGAGCTTCCTGGCCGCCTGGCTGAGCGCGGCGGCGGCGGCCCCGCGGGAGAGGCTCCGCGACTTCCAGCACACCAAGCGCGTCGGCAACTACCTGATCGGCAGGAAGCTGGGAGAGGGCTCCTTCGCCAAGGTCCGCGAGGGGCTGCATGTGCTCACCGGAGAGAAGGTATCGGACCGGCCGGGGCGGGAGGGCGGCCGCTCGGTGGCGCCCCGGGGGCTGTGGGAGTCCCGGCGGTACGGGGAGCGGTGCCGGGCTGGGGCTGCGCGACCTGCGCCTTGCGGGGATACCCGCCTGTGTTCCCCTTTGCAAGGTTCGTGCCTGTGAGAAAGCGCTGTTTAAAACAGCACGGCACGCAGCGTCCTACCGCTGACCGGCGACGGTGTGAGCGGTGTGGTTTTGGTGGCACGATACGTAGACTTCTACCACTCATCGGTGACAGAGTGCAGACACTCCTCGCTCATTGAAATGACAGGAGGTGCTGCGTGCGTCTTCGGCGGTGTTACGGTTCGGTGAGCAGAAGTTGTTGATAGTGCTGCACATCACAAGGTGCCCTCACGTGTGTTGTGTTGTTTCATCTAGTAAAGAAAGTCCACCGAGGAGCTCTGCTTCTCGTCTCCTATCTGCAGTCCTGTAGTGGAGTCTTCCACCCATCGGTCAGGCTCTGTCACGACTGTGCTGAAGAGCAGCGGGCGCTTGGCTGTGCATTGAGCACGGCACGGCATCCTGGAGAGCCCCGCTGCAGGGCTGTCCCGCTCGTGTTGAAGCTGGCTGGCAGAGCTCTGCTTAACACGGGGCACCCCGCTGCTGCCGGATGAGCTGAGAGCAGCACAATCTCCTTTGGCTCCAGCAGCGCTGCACATACACTATTGTTAGGGTTGCATCTCTATAGGGTTCATGCAGTTCTAGGCTTGTTTTTTTTTTTTTTTTTCCTCCTTCCAGTAAGTTTGTCACAGAGTGAAATTTGGAGTAGAGCTCTGAATTTCCTCATGACAAAAATGATTGCTGTCATATAGGAATGCAAAAAAAAAAAAAAAAAAAATTTTTTTGTTGTTGTTCTTCTCTTCTGTTACCAAGCGTGTGCTTCTCCTTGGTAACGGATACATCCAATGATCCTCCTGTTGATAAAAGGCACATGCACACACACGTCCTTCCCACCTCCACTTTTTGGGTTGCTACATTTATCTCTGTCTGTGAAGAGGCAAAAATAAAAAGCCCCGCCACACACCCCTCTATCTCGGCTGCCAGGGCTCCTGCTTTATTTATTTATTTTTTTCCCCCGGTGTCTTGAATAAGACATGCTATGACAAAGTGACGAGCAGAAGCTCTAGGAGAACCTAGAGGAATAGGCTGCCCAGGGAGGAGGTGGAGTCACCATCCCTGGATGTGTTCAAGGGCTGTGTAGATGTGGCACTGAGGGATGTGGGCAGTTGGTGGGGATGGGTGACGGTTGGACTGGGTGATCTTAGAGGTCTTTTCCAATCTTAATGATTCTGGGATCTCCCTTCCTTCCTGCTGATCCTTGGTGTCCCTATTTGTGGCCAGCTCTGACGGTCTCTGAGTGCTGTTTGACCCTATCTTCTGTCATAGGATCAAATCAGGCTCTTGCTGTTGACTTCAGTGGGTAAAAGATCAATTGCATAGTTTTAAACGCACTAATTAAGGGTCCATCCTACCAAAATATCCACCTATTTCATTTCAAGTATTTATGGATAAGCAATCTGAGTTAGTGGATGAAGATAAGGGCACTTAATGACTTTCTTAAGGTGAGGTCCTATCTCAGTGCGGTTCCTCTCTCTAACTGGAGGGGGAATGCTTACCATCCCACACATGGCCCCACCTGAGGATCTCACCCCATCCAGGGAGCTGGTGGACACTCAGCTCTTCAGGGCATGTTCCTCAGCCATGCTCTTGTGTGGCCTCCAGCCAGAGGAGGCTGAGGCGTGCCCAAACTGATCTGCCTCGCAGCTGCTGGTAGCTCTGCCTACACTGAACCCACCACAGGCGACTGAGCTCTGGCTGTAACATGAGGAAGAGAAGGAAAACATCTGCTTCCTTGGACTCCTTTCCCTGGGAGAGTGTTTGGGAGGAGGCTGAGGCTGGCAAGTGTGGAAATTGAATGAGGAGGGAAGGAAAGAGGCAGCATGAGAGCCAGGATTGGCAACACTGGGGGACAGAAGGAGGTTCTGTGGGAAGAGGACACCGACAGCTCCATCAGGTGCTCAGAGCCCCATCCAGCCTGCCACTGAGTGTCTCCAGGGATGGGGTATCCACCACCTCTCTGGGCAAGCTGTTCCACTGCCACCACCCTTACTGTAAAAGACTTCTTCCTTATATCCAATCTAAATCTCCTCACTTTTAGTTTGAAAATGTTCTTCTATGAGAAAAGTTTTATTGTCATAGCAAAGTCCTTCCTCAAGAGCATCATGGCACAAGCGGTCATGGGTTAAACTGTTTGTACCTCTGAGAAATCTCTGAGTGCTGGAGAATTAGGAACCATTTGGTACTCCAGTGTCAGAGCCCAAGTGAGCAGATGTTGGGCACAGACCTCCCAAGGACAGCTAACGGAGTCGGGTTGGTGCTAACAGAGGTACCCAAGGCATGAATGAGCAGCTGTGTGTGACAGCCACCCTTGGCCATCTCTCCATGCCCACCTCCATCCCTCAACCCCAGGAGTGACACCACACTCATCTGGAGTTCAAGGAGAGCATTGCCCTGTAATAGAATGGCACTGCCCTGCATTCAGCAGGGTGAGGGGCAAAGATTGACCGAGCTTAATCTTTGGGTATGTTCACTTGGAGGGGAAAGTTAATCTGTAGGAGTGTGCACTTAACGTGCTTGCAAGTGGGGCACAGTGAAGCAAGACGTGGAAACAAAGCCTTCTGCAGACGGCTCACTGGATTGCTGTAGTCACTGCAGTTTTCTAGGCTGATGCTTTATGAGCCTATTATTCCAGGATTAGCGCCTGCATGTACTTTGAGATAAAAAAATAATTGACATCTGATTTCTGTCTTGTAAAGCCGTTGTCGAGCAAGGGCACTGCCTAAGTTTCAATAAAATTGCGGTAGTCGTGTGAAGTAGGGGTCTTACTGCTAATGCCTGGTAGCTGTTTTGGCACAGTCCAAGCTGTTACGGTCACCAGAATATCTGATTTCAGCGAGGGTGCCCAAGCAGGTTTTGATTTGCAGCAGACTTTAATGACTGTGGAGGAGTTAATGCGCATTATTGTTTCAGAAAATTGTGTATTTAGAAATGAAATCTGTGGATTAATGATTCCCTAGCTAGGCTCAGATCCATTGCACTGACACAACGCATTGTACAGAATCAAGGCAATTGCAGAGCGAATGCCAAAAATCTGCCATTACCTCACCCTGAAATGGCTAGAAGCTGAAGAGGTCTTCGAGAGAGCACAAGATGCTGTGGGCCAGGCGCTAGTTGCTTTACCAGCTGCTCTAAGGGCAGCTGGATGGGCTGTGCATGTTGAGTGCAGTGCGTGGGACTGGAACCAACAGCTTCTGAGCACGAGAAGGTGAGCTAAGGTGAGGCTTTAAACCTTCACTATGAACGTCTGTAGCACTGGATTTGAAATCAAATCTTTTGCAGCGTTTCTCAGGGTTTGTATTACCAGCCTGTCAGGCATGTTATTATTGTCTGGGCTGGAGAAATGTTTGGTAATGCCTGATGCAATTAAGTGTATTTTAGCTGAGCATAGGAGAATGTTGAACAGATTATTCTTTCCATTGCTTTTGAATAAAAATATCACAGCCTATAATCTAGCATTTTTGGGTAGAAGGCTGATTTGTTAGATCAGCGCAGGCAGTCTTTATTGCCAGTCCTAAGGAAACAGTTTCTCTCTGAAGAACGAGCCAATTTAAATCTAAATTGTGGCTATGAAACCCCGCTGGGATAGCTGCATTGTTATCCCTGCTAACTTGCAGAGCCTCTGCCCAGGATAATCCCAGTGTGTTCCAGCCCTTGTGCTTGAGGCTCAGCATGGCCTGTCACCGGGCAGCAGAAAGCAGGCATTGCAAGATAATGTTTTCTGTAGTTCTAAACAGCCGAAATTACATTCCTAGCAGTGCAGCAGGGGTAACATCATGCTTTGTTGGTAGACTGACCGGATTGTGCCATCTGCTGTGGACCCTGATGAAATGACTCCATAACCCTCAATGACTTCATGCTGCATTGCAGGATGGCCCTATATTGAGGGGAGAGAATGGTGTGAGCTGAAGTCTTCATAAGCAAACTTGACCTGAGATTGCTTTTACCTTACTTTGAAGTATTATCTTTGTCTCTACAAAGAGAGAGATGGAGGCAAATTGAGTCATTTGATTTCTCATCTGCTGAAAAATGTGTTTATCAGTTTCTCTAGTGCTATTGTTACACTCCAAAAAGGGCCATTTTTAGTTACAGTTAGTTGAGTGGTTTTCTGTAACAATGTTAGTGGGAAGCAGCTGCTAAAAATACAGTTTACCAGCTTTTATGAAGGTAAAGCAATTAATATTGAAAGTGGCCTTTTCACAAAAGGTTTTGCTTTCCGAATGCATTTCTGTATTAAAAATGCTTTAAAAAAAAGAAAAAGAAAAAGAAATTAAAAAGCTGTATTAGAGACTCCTGGAAGTGCTACGTGGGCAGCGCAAATGCCCTGCAGAGAGCTAGCAACACCCATTGCAAACCCCAGGGAGGGAACAGGGGAGGTGTTCTGAAAGCACACCTGGGCAGCAGTCTCACAGGCTCTGTCCCCTGTTGGTGGCATGTGATTTTGTGAAATGCATTCAGAGCATCACTGGCACTTTTCTGTTTGAACATCATGCATTCATCAGCAGGTGCGAGGCTTGGAGGAGCTGCACCTTTGTTTTGGGAGCTCTAGATGTCTCCAGGGAGGCAAAATGGGATGCACTGGTGGTCTGGCAGGTTGTGTGGCTGCATCAGCCAGCGTGGTCGTCTCCTGAAATCCTTCCTGTGGCTGAGAAAACTGTTAGACAGCTTTTACCCTGGTCCCAACATCTCATTTCTAATCTCCTGCTCATGTCAAAGGGTGGTTGTTGAGTTGCTTCTGGATGTACCATCAGAAGCAAAGGGTGGAGTGATGCGTTTTGCACAGTTTCCATCTTCCAGCAGCTTTCCCTGGGAAAGTCACCAACCATTCAGGAGAATGTAGGCAGGTG